TCATACGGCAAAAAAGTCTATTAACCGGCATTTGACTTCTGACTTCGAACTACCACGACCCCCCTGGTTGTCATATTCGACCCCTTTCACAGTACTCACCTTACCTTTTTCTCTACCTTTGTGTCTGTCTGCCTCTTTTAAATCTGTGAATCGCTCTTCTGTTTCCCACCCCTCGACTTTCTGCTACTTTGATGAACCTTCCCTCTGTGGAGCCGGAGTCAGCTAAATGGCTAATGATATCTATCAAAACGCCCGGCATTCGAAATAAATAAGCATTGTTCAACTGTGGCAACGTGGTGTTCCGAAAATTCGATCGGTAATTTTACTGCAAACTTTGTTGTCTGCAGGATTCGGTTGCTATCCCAAAGACTAGAATTGTGTAGTCCAAGCTTGAAAAGTGTACATCATGTTTTTAGAATTAAAAAACAAAAGAGACTAGATATTTATTTACAGCGCGAAAAATTTCCTGTTAATTAGTCTAAAATTGACTATTATAAAGACAAGACAGGTAAATGTGCGAATTTGGATCAATAGACAGGGCAGAAAAAGTGAAAAGAGGACACACATGAAGCCTACCATTAAAGTAACATCATAAATCATGAAATTAATGAAGTCCTAAATTTAAATTAACGATGGAATTGAAAATTACTACTCAGAAGTGCTTGTTTTCCTACTATTCAAGCTTACAACGTGACGCCTCTTCTCAGTTTTGATGCGGTTGGTAAGAGAAAGTGGAGTAGATCAACTGTCAATCTTTCGATTTAATGGAGGGAAATCGGGTGGCTATAAAGGGGTCATTATGATTTAATCTAATTGAGATCATGGGGCACAGTCAGTCATTGATATTTGATCATTACACATGACATAGATTTATAAATGTTATTTCTAGGGCAAATAAACTGAGAAGTAAAGAGAGTTCTTCTAGTGACCTGTTTAACACTCAACGATGTCAGTCCCCATTTATCGCATTGGGAACATGACTCCAGGGGACCTCAACTTGCTAGCTCCACGCAAATATTCAGAGCTGAAAAAAAACACCAATTCTGGTCTATAGAAGAAATAGCTATGATGTATGCCATGGTCTTCAGTTTGCAATTTATAAGATTATTTGTGCATGATAGGGGAGAATGGGGGGGGGGAGTGGTTAAGTCAACTTCTCTCAAAATGCCACTCCCAATTCCGGAATTAAATGCAGTTGCAAAATGCCTTTTAAATCTTCCGGAATTAAGGCTAATAGGGCTATGGATTCGACTATCACCGCGGATACTAGCTGTCCAAATATACATTAGGTACTACTTCTAATCACAGCTAAGTCTATCGATATCGAAATTTCATCTAAGTTGCTCTCATTAGAAGAGATAAAAGTCAATCAGTTTCACTAATACTCTTGGCAGACTTTTGTGAATGGAAGACCGTGAAATTTGAAACACTCACAGGATCATTTCTATGTTTATTTAAACAATCCCAGATAATAAAATAAGCTTGTATTTGGGTCCTCGTATTCAATTTGTCTGTCATTTAAAATTTAAATCAGTAATATTCAATCAAGTGAATATTTAAGGTAAGTTTATAGACAGGTAAACTATGCAAAATTCGATTATAAATGCGCTTCATCTGGTTATAAGCCATTGTAATATCAGAAGTTTTGGACCATAACGAAGGTCTATTACAGTTTGCCATACATTTATTGATGTGGTATGAAATCGAATTGTGATTTTGTGCTATCATGCACCGTATTTGACAACTGAAGGGTCACGGGTTTGATATTGAGTGAAATATTTGGATTTCCAACTTGACAAACCCCAACTGTCAAATTATTTACACTTCTTAATATGCAACTGAACACATATTCTATGAAACTACATTGCACTAATCAATATTCCCCTAAGAAGACGATGGAAAACGCCCCAAGAAAAAGTATAGGAATTCAATTCTCCATCAAAGCAACCCAAAGCAATGCTGATAAAAAAATATTTTGGTGAAAAATTAGGGCCCTATGCCTCGATTTTACATCCTTATAATAAAAGAGTTTAAAGGTGTTTCATAACTTCAGCTGAGTTAATAGACACCGGGAACGCCTTTGCCACTCCCCCCCTCACCCCATCCGTCATTTCTGTCAAAAAAAGTAAGCACTTTAGTTTACTAATACCCTATTTTGACAATTTTGGTTTTTTCCACATTAATTGCAGCCTTAACCATTCAATTACTATACTTTACGACGAACAATATCTGAACTCTTATTATCTGTAAATGTTGCAATTTTATCGTTGTACCTTAATTTTTAAAAATTAAATTCTATTTTCCGACTGTACTACTAAGTATCAAGAAATTGTCTCCAGTTAAAGTGGTTTGAGATCTACTTCACGTTTTATATAATTAATATATTTAATTTAGCTAAAGCGAATGCCATGGGAAAATACATGAATGACAGATTGGAAATCAGGCAAATTTGTTAATGAAATAAGTTGATAAAAGCTAAACAATATCCAAAATTTTCAATAAGAAATGGTGGTCAAGGTTACAAAGATTGTTATGTTTGCCTTGTTCAGTCAATAGTTTTCATTTATTCAATCATTTCTGCTTCTTTTACCTCGGCGATGAAAGAGGCGGCGCTACGTTTGGAGGGAGGAACAACGAGGACAGGAACTCCGGAGTGATGGACGACATAGTGACAGCAACTTCCCAGAATAGTTCGGCGAGCTTTGCTCATACCCCGACAGCCTATCACGACAACCGAGGCACAGCACTCATCTGCGACCTTGATTATGCAGTGTCCAGGGTTGGCGTCTGCTCGGAGAGTTTTAGTATGCTCGAAGTTATACTTCTTGCATTGTTTAGAGTACTTTTCCAGGACCCTTTTGCCTTTTTCAATGCTCTCATTCACATTATCGGAGAAATCTGTCACGGCATGCTCAACGACGATACCCCCAGTAGAAGAGGAATATTTCGGCTGGATGACGTGGACCAAGATTATTTTGTCCTCAATTCGGTGAGCCCGTTTTATATACCAGTTGAAAGCTCGTTCACAGTGGGGACTACTGTCGACGGGTACAAGAACGACACGAGCTGCTGGATAGCCAGTTGTCTCGGAAGTCATCTTGTTATTGTAACTTATGACATTTTGCCATGAGGACTGCGTTTAAATAAAGGGACTTGAATTACTCTGAATCGAATGTTCAGAGTTAAACCAATAAGAAAGAAAATATTGCCACAATTTTAAGTGCATGAATTGCGGGTAACACGTGAGTGGGTTCCGATTTGCCAAAACTAATAACACTAATTTGAGTAGAAATTAATGAAACGTGCGATAATATCAAGAAACTGTGAATATTTGATTTTGCAAACCTAACCTTTGGTTTAGGCTTTGAACCGATTTATGAAGTAAGTTTGGAAATAATTTACTATAGTCAAATGTTTTTCATAAAATACTTTATAAATAAATGGGAGTACGTATAAAAAATGCACAAATTGAATTGAATATGTATTTTCAAAAATTGGAATATTATGAAAAAAGACAAATTGTAAAAATTGGACAATTTTTCGACTAAGCTATTTCTGATTTAAACGCTGAATAAAATGTGTCAAATTACAAATTATAATTTAAACAAATAACACCAAGTCCGCCGAATCCTGAAACTTTCCGAAAATTTCAATGAGGTTGTTATGTGACATTATGATAACTGTATGAACTTAGACCACTTTTTATTTACTAAATTATTCGGAGAAATAAACTTTAAATTTATAGAAAAAGCATGGTGGAGCTTGAATTTCAGCATGTTTACTGAACTTTGAAAGAAAACTGTTTTGTGAAAAATGGTGGTTCCATATGAGTTAGAGTTTTGTGATTTACGAAAATTCAGAATGGTGACTGGCAATAATTGCAAATTTTGAAGAGAAATACGACCTATGGCATAGTTGTATACGAAAAGATCAGCAAAATGTAATTTTTCAGTTTTATTTAAGGTGATTAAGTTTTAATTTCGATGCGGAGCAAGGTTTCCAGTTGGGCTCCTTTGAAGAAAATTTTGTCAAACAAAGACATTTTTTAAACAAACACAGATTTTCTCCTTTCCTTTACGATATATCTGGAATAATGTCCTGAGGGGTTTAGAGACTGACTAACGAGGCAATTTGATCCATGATTAACAAGGAACAAAAATGCACATTTATAGCAAAGGTCATTGTCTTATGCAATTGAATTGAAACTTATAACTATAGATAGCAATATAAGAACGTGAAAGAACATCATGGAGACTAGGGTCACCAGATTGTAGAAAATAGTCGATACGAGTCAAAGGGGATTCATTAACGAAACTGAAATTATTTTTATAGACTGAGAGAAATAAACTACAATGCCATAGACTGAGTTTGAGAACTACATTGTACAGAAGTTGAGAGTATTGAATAGAGATATTTTTTTGTAATATTGATTTTTGTGAAAAGTGACTAGTTTCCTCCAGTGGATTAAAATTATAGAAATAATAGATTGTATAGATGAGTAAATGACTATTTTAAAGTTAGAATACTTATCATTTTAAGTAGACAAAATAATCAGCTAGTTCTCATAATATTGCCATCTTCATTAAAGCCACCGAAGGAAGAATTGAAGTTTGACTGAAAAGCATCGATTTACAGGATAGAATTGTCATTAAAATCTTCTCGACTTGGGATGCTTGGTGGAAGCCCACTTACAAAGGCGCTTTGGTTTAAGTGAATATAGGTTCACATACTCACATGTTCTCTCTTTGTCACATTTTATTTCACGCCTTAGCTAATTGATTAATTTGAGAGTAGAAGACAGCACGAGTCATTATTTTTTACGATCAATTACTACGTGGTGGTATTACTCTTGTCTGTAGACTTAAAAAATCAGTTACCGGTTTATGCGTTTCTGTTTATTTCGAGAACAGGAAGTTCCGAAGGAAATATGTTTGATATGCGACTATTTAGCGGACTGCTACCTTAGTAAAGTCTGACTGACTCAGAAATCCCTGTGGCAGATTCTCCTACATCTGGCTAGACTCCCAGAACCAGCTAAGCTATAGCCCAGCTATCGGAAAACAGACGTGTAGCAAGGAATACGTTTATTCGATACGGAGGAAACAGACGTATAGCACGGAACACGTTCACTCAGTAAGTATCTTGTGAGCTAAATGTACACGCAAGGAGCTTGATCATGATCAGGATGGCGGTTTAGGTTAAACAAACGGAGGCTACTGATCGGCCACTGTTAGTACGGTCGCTGCACAAAGAGTTGTACGGCCGCACCTCCCAATCCTGGCGGGCAGGCATGCGATGACGCACTAAGTGATAACGTGTCCAGCAACTACCTATACGACACGGTTTGTTTAATTTTCCTTAAAAATAGAATAACCAGAATGCAACAATTATTTCAACTAAGTAAGTTAAATTAGCAAATTGATAAAATTAGTCAACTTTCTTTTACAATACCTAATTGCATTTTTAATTGTCTTATTTTTTGAAATTTGATTAAATGAAATGCAACATCTTTTGTTTACTATACTTCGAAAAAAAATTGACAACGAAATCAACAATAGGAAATAAGAACAATATCTTTATTTTTTAATAAACTATTTGTAGGAAATAACTGATGTCTTCATTAAATGTACATAATGGATGAATTGATATTGAGATTTGCAAGTTCAATTTAAATTCGCATAATAGTGCGTAATGTAATTGGCTATCATATTGCCAGATTGGCGAAAGGAAACTCATTACCATACTACTGAAATACTGCTAGTAAGTACCTTTTCAGCGACTAAATTTTTAGGCGATACTAATGACAAAATTTGAAATTGAAAGTCCGTAATCTATCCTGTGAACATCCTAAGGTGCATTTTGCCTCCTATCCATTAATTTTTTAACGTCTGGGAAAAATTTGTGAGAATTTATACTTCCTTAATCGAAGCGTCATTTTGATGTACACGTCTCTACCCTTATCTTTACTGACATATGCCTAGGCAGCATCATAGAAACTAAAAAAAAGCATATGAACTTTATCCACAAGGCTAATGAATCACTGCGAAATCACCATGGTTAGAACGCCATTTAACAAATCTTTCGAATCACAGTTGAAATTATACAGTTTCAAAAATGAAATTGACTGAAAATTTCAGGTACCATTCTTTAAAGTAAGCTTTTGGTTAAAGCCTTGCTTTAGAATTAAGTGTATCTACTGTTGTGGTCGATTGCATTAGTAGTGAGATGCGGTGATCAGTGCCCAAAACTACGATATAACAAATCGTAATGGTTCCATTTAGATATAGAGAGTGGACGAAGCATCTAAGTAAATTCAGTGAAGATCATTTTGTAAATTGCCTGTGTAGACGTCCTTTGATTGCGAATGCATGAAATATACAGTCAAGCAATTACATAAGGACTTAAATTTGTTAGTGAGTTAATTCCTCTTTGTTGGGACAATTTTAAAAAGGTGATTGGCCCATGAAGTCTCAAAAACAAAAAAACACACCTGACCCACTCAATCATATTATATAGTCAATCCTATCTTAGAGAAATCGTTTTGGGAGTTTTATTTTTAAATAAAATTGTTTAATTTCTACTGAAGTACGAGCTTTAATTCCGTGTTTATAACAAATCTATAAAATGGTTGCCACAAATGAGTAAAATTTTCAATTACAACTTGAACCTGAAATCATTTTTTATAAAAGTAGCGAAGATCGGAATGTTCTAATCTTGGTAAAGACGCTACACATATTCAATCCATTTTGACATTGAGGAAATATCAGGTACACTTACCACTACGCCATTGTTGCTTATCCTCTTTATTAAGTAGTGTTTGTTCGTCAAAATTTGTGATCTCTTGTAACTGATTCGGGTCTAAGTGCCCTCGATGATGAGACAAGTCGTAATGAGATTTTATTTGCTTTAAATGACCAAAGAAGCGAAAATATTGGACCAACTTTGCATTCAATCGAGCATATCTCTTATAGCTCAATCTATCGAATCATCAACAACATCTTAGGCCTTTAATGTCCAGGCCATAGCCAAACGTTTCATGGGGTTAAGATACAACTTCTAAGTGTTAATAGAAAACCACTCTTTCAAATTATAGTCCTAAAGTTTGAGGGTATATCGGAACACTTCCATAGAAAATCAAGAGGTATGGGGGGGGGGGAGAGTGAGAGAGAAAGAGAGAGTGAGTGTGAGGGAGCGTGTGTGAGTTTGCATGAGCGCTAGGCGCTTGCAAAGATCATGTAAAAATTGCGCGTGTCTAACACAGGCAGAGGTTAGTCATCGCAAGCCAGAGGTGTGCGGAAATCGATAATTGTGGAGCTGTTGGTAAGCTTGAATATTTAGGAGAGGGGAGTGAAATGTGCTGGTTACAAAGCTTGTCATACAAATAGGAATGAAATTTTTGCATCTACGCTATACTAATGAATCCGATTCAATTATCAAAAGCACTATATTAACCAATTAACCTGAACACATGAAGTCAATAAATCTAATTCCATACAACTCTCTACCAGTTCGAGAACGTTGCTAAAATAACAATTGTTATAAAAAGTACTTGCGTCATTTATTTTATTTATATCAAATGGCAGGCATTTTGATAGTTTCATTAGCCCTTTAGGTGACTTCAAGCCTCACAGAGGAGAAGAAATATCAAAGTAAAAAATTCGAGAAGGGGGGGGGAGGAACAGAAGAGTGTTTCAAAGATGTAAAAGAGACAGACACAATGGTTGAAAAATGGTGAGGTGAGTACTGTGGAAGTAGTCGAAAATGACACAGTGGGGTCATGGTCGTTTGAAGACAGAAATCAACTGCTAGTTAATACACTTTTTTGCCATATGAGTATAAGTCGCCCAGGGTGCACCACGTGGAGGTAAGTCTATCGCACGCTGTCCAGGGTGCACCACGTGGAGGTAAGTCTATCGCACACACCCCTCCGCTTCCAAATAAGATGTTGATAGTGAAGGCATATTTCCAGGGTGCACCACGTGGAGGTAAGTCTATCGCACACCCACTTGGCTCTCCCCTCAAATTTCAACCCTACACGGATGGGCTTGTTTTTTTTTATTTTTACTATTACCATTACAATTATAATTATGTACTTTACGTCATTGATGTAGTAAAACGATTGAAGTTAACCGATGTTTTAATAGTACTTTCAATTAACATCCAATTTGACAGACTTAATTCAAATTAAATCAAAGCAAAAGTGGGTGAATGATTGTCGTCAGTCTTTCTTTTAATATAACTGAAAGTTGTAAAAGCAACAGTTTTTGCTCCTTCTTTTTACCATTCAATTGATAACTTTAAACTAGTTCATGAATGATATCAGTATTATTCCCATGAAATGCAGGGTAAAATCCAAGAGTGGCTCACTTCCCTTAGACTGATTCAGGGTGAAATTTACGTAGAATAGTAGTTCAAAGTTTTAAATTCTAGAAATCACCGCATAATTTCGTCGTTAATGGAGATTCCTGCAGGTGAAATAAAACGGCTATGAAACCGTGTGAATATTCAATTTTTGATGTAGTATTTGTGAGCCACGCGCGCCATGATTCGCTAGCCTAGAATAAGCCAATTAAATCTCGCCCCCTTTAATAAGTCTGCCTGGCAAAGTTTGATTATGTTTCATCAAGCCTCCTCTGCGTATTTCACAGAAGCAGAACATGGATACGGATATTTACATGCTTCGGGCATTCTACTGTGGCTTTTGCAGTACTCGACATCAACCTCTTGACCAAGCAGATGTCCCACATTACCTAGCTCGGAGGGTCCAAATGAAACCACGAGTGGAATGCACAATCCATGGGGATATTTGTGGATTTGTGGTGACAACAGCAAAAGCAAGAGCCTTCCCAGCTTCTGTTATCAATGGATACATTGCCCTGAACAATACGACACACACAGTGGCAGTGAGACATTGCGAAACAGATCACTTTCTTGCAGGATATCGATTTTTCTCCTTCAATAACACTCAGGATCAAGACTACTTTATTCAATATCTTGACACACTTCTTGACAGTCATGTAAGTATGTTTAAGAGGAATAGTTCGCACCACAGGGAATTTCCAATGCATGGAGTTCTCGGCAGACAGAATTCAATAAAATCCTCACAGAGCTTAGGCCCACCTGTACCGCCGAAAACAAGGAATGTAATACGAGTGAGCAATTCTAACAGACTTTATAATAACAATAATCGAATTAATAGTGGGGTTAGTTCCAACAAAAAGAGATACATGATAAACTGAATAATTTGATAGACACTGTATAAACTATGTTGTACCGATTTTCCCAGAATCGTCCCTCTCTTATCTTTTATAGCGCGAATGTTTTTCCAAAAAAATTTCGAATACTATCACTTGGTACTTTATTAGCGCATTTTATTTGTATACATTTTATGGGGAATTTGATATAAGTCAATGGATATCTTATTTGTTGTCTCCCCACAAATAGACTCGTTCTTATATTAAAATAAGCAAGTGTGATATTTAATGATTTTCTGTTAAAGTTGCTGTTTATGTGCACACTTGCAGTGGTTGGGCACTAACAATGATGAAAACCTTTGGAATAGAGTGATTAGCGCTCATTTTGTCGTTTTATTCTACTATTCCAAACTTTGTTTATGCTCATGAAGAGGTTTTGTGCGCTCAAAGGAAAGCTTATTAAAAAGCGCTTTTGAACAAGTTTGTGTGATACTATTGGTAATGAAATTATGCTGAATAATTGCAAGTTAAAAGTCAACCAGATATGATTCATACTGCATTCTAAGTGTTAAGTGCACTAATAGCTTTGAAGTGTCTACAGGAAGAAATTGTAACTAGGCAAAGCTTTCATACAACTGTCAGATAGTTTTCTCGCATCGTCTACAATATAGTTGCCAGTTGGCACTCAGCGATTTTCAATGCTTTCTCTGAACGCACAACGAGGCCTTAATTAAAATTCATCTCAAGAAAAGTTCTTCACAGAAATTCGAAGCATTTACCACTTTAAGCATTTTTTTCGGATAACCAATTTGAGCAGTCTAGACAATTGATGCGTTAGAAAATGTGATCATAAAAGACCATTGGTTAATTGGAAATTCACATTGAGTTATTCCATTCCCAGGCAGGGGGGAGTTGAATTCGTTGGACTTTAGGTGTTGGCCTGTAGATAGCTAAATAGGAGGTATTTTCTGCTTCTCAAGGAGTAGTACCTTTAAATATCCCCTTAAAATTCTCGCAATGTACAATTCATAATTGGAAGTTAAAGTTATAAATCTGCATACATTTTGCGGTTTTTATGCAATATCACAATAGACCGACTTTATTTCGTAAAACGTTTATTTTTCATTCCATTTTTGGGCATTTCAACCCAAATAATAAAACGGAACGACCAGATTTAATTGAGTTTTAGTTGATATAAAGTTAACAATGAGCATATATATCCTCGCAGAAATTTAAACAGAATTTACATTAATAAGCAGCGATTTCTTGAATCATGGTAGGTATTTATACTCACAGTGCATATTGAAAAATTAAAATCCTTTGAATAGACTAATAATTGCATTGTCAAACGTCTCAAGGTCTAAACATCTTTAGTGGGTTAAAATACATGTGAATTTCTTTGTAAAAAATAACAAACCATGCCATTAATTAAAGACGATTTATCATTCATCATTAATGACAGAATAGACGTTGTTTATAAATTTAAAGTAGCATGAGACAGTTCTCATCCGATCTCTCCGGAATTAATGAATTAATCAATACAAATTCTAAAAAATATTTAATTGACAAGCAAGAAGGATCTTGTTGTACCTGTAAGTCTACTTGGCTTAAAAATTCCAATTGAACGAAATATAATGTCATTTTATCGAGTTTAATTTTTCTCTCCGTCATTAAATTAATAAAAATAGCTAGGAAATGTAAAAAAATTCACAACTTTTGCAATTCATCATAATCTTTTGTAAATAAAGGACTTAAACACTTTGAAGTAAAATAATAAAGCGACTTATTGTTATCCTTTGGAAATTAGATTAGACTTATTCATTTCTGTACACTGCTATTTGGACAAACTGTGCAGAAATTTTCCCATTTATTTAACTTAAATTGTACAATTATCTTAGTTATTAAATACACTGCACTTGTTTAAATTTGTCAAAGAGAAGCATAAACAAAAGACAATTTTAAATGCGAATTTAATTAGCCTATTTAAACCACCAATGATAAGAATCTTGATAAGTTAGAATTTTCTCTGCACATTTATATTTTGCGTTGAAATAGTTGGAGATGCAGATTTTCAGCTTGATACAAATTGTACTAAAGGCACTTTTCGAATGTCTAGCTCCGAATAAGCTGAATTTGAATTTGTATTAGTATTGAATTTCATAGCTTGATAGTTCATTTATTTTGCATAGTTCCTGCCGGGTAACAGATCAAAACTTGCTGCATTGTAACACTGAATATATTTTAATCACTCGTATGGCTAAAACAAAGTGTCAATAAGACAACAACTAAGAGTGAGCTTCGTGTATATATGCTTAAGTATATATACATATATATACATATATATATATATATATATATATATAGGATTAAAATATTTAGCTTGTTTGGGGGTGCAGAGAGCGTACATATGGACTGAAACTGTCATTTTATCTGTTTTAGGGAAGCGTACCTAATCTCTCTAATCAGACGGATAAAGTGGATCCCCATGCCATAGATAAGTTACGACGAATTGCACACATGAGAGATCTCTATAGAAATGAATATATGTAACTGTTTCTGAACGCTTATATGATGTTAATGTATGCTAATTGTTTGAAAAAAAGAAAATCTATGCTACAAATAAAGATTTTTGAAATCGATGTGAAACAGATTGTAATTGACCAAAGTTATTTTTACTTATAATAAGCGGCGCGTTTAATTTTTTCGCACTTCTAAGATTCCAGAATCGAAGATTGGTTGAAAACTTAAAGAAAGATGGCAATTTAAGTAAGGCAAAGGCAGGGAGATTAAGTAATCGAAAATAATAACACTTCATATGAAATAAGCAGTAATAAGACAGCCCATATTTCTCTTTAAAATGCTGGAATAGCTGCTGCGAAATCTGGGGTTCCTAATTCTGGTTACCATGACCTAATCATTGGGAGGGGGGGGGGGGGGGGGAGGGAATTGGATGGGAATGTTAGGTTGAAAATCCAGTAGATTAAGTGAGCATTTTAAACTTTCAACTAGATAGTCAGGTGAATTTCAACAATAACATATAGCTTTCAATTAAGCACGTGCATTGTAAATTAAACATTAATAGATTTTCGAATTTCTTTTGTAATTCTTTTGAAACGTATATTGAGTTCAAGTACCCTCCTGGCAAATCAGGCAGACTCATTTAAAGACAACCCCAAGGCCATATATAGCATAGGTATTAATAATTAACATACGTAACTACAGCTAAATTGTCCACGAATGAGGATATTTACCTTTGGCAGGGTGGAATAGGGTTCTATGTTGATAGAGCCTTTTTAAACAGCGTCATTTTAGAAACAGCCAGCAGCATACATAGGTGCTGCTTTACGGAAATGGAAAAGATGGATAGAGCAACCCAATCGGAGATAAATCGTGTCTCAAAAGCGTACTTTATTTTTAGAAGTAATGATATACTAAGAACAGTCCCGGGAATATGATGAATCACATGTTCTCGTTCAGCCCTCCCCCCCATCTAAAATCGCCCAAATAATGCATTTAAGAGAGTGTATTTTACAGACTCTCAGCTTCACTCGCAAACACTCATATTAAGCAAATTTAGCCATTTAAAATGATGAAAACCTCAAGGAAAATTACTAAGAAATGCTCGTTATAGTTTTACTGTTACAGAAAGTGAACTAAGGCTTTGGGTGACATACTAGGATAAAATGTCTAATATGTTGGGTATTAAAACAATCTAATTGAAGCAGCTATTAATGAAAGACGATTGCTTCCTTTGATTGACATGAGTGCGACGAAAGCGAGTTCATATTTTCAGTGTTGATGTAACGTCTACGGGTAATCAATTTTCTCAGGTTGCCCCAATTTCTCTCTCTCTTTAATAGACTTTAGATGTGCTTCAAAGATGAAGACGTTCACAATTATTTAGATATCGTAAATCAACTTCACTTCAGCTTCTTATCGACGACCTATTCATTTTGATTCTCGATCTTATACGTTGTGAATCGATTCAGACTCGGCATACTTTTCTACTCGGCATCCAATGTGCAAAATCCTCGTAGTGGACTCAAATATGTTGCAGAATCAGGAAGAGTAATTTTTTCTTTGAATGAACCTACAAATAGCCGATTATCTTTCAAACGAGAGTATCCACTGTCCATGCAAGAGTAACAGTTATGAAGAATGTCACTAACATTGGAACTCCCTCCTTACAAAGTTATTGCTGCTAGAACTGGAAAGAAAATTGGTTCAAAGATGACTTCTGGTGAGGAGTAGTTACGAACAGTGCCCAAATGGTAAGAGAGTGCTGACTAAGTAGAAACAGAGATATGGCTTGTAAATACTGGCGAATGCTAATTCATGTAAATGTGTTTACAAAAGCATTAATGGTTCACCATTCGAGCTTCAAATCGACAATGACTCCTATGCCACCATCACCTCGCCCAAGGTAGATGCTTAAATTTTAAAATAATGTAATTAAGGTGATGTTTGCATCTCAGCGGATTGATGCGACGTGAGGCTACATCCGAAGTGAAGAGACTCAGCCGAAACCAGTTTCTTCTTGAACTCGGCTCTAACTAACCATCTCGGGGCCCATTTACATTACAATATAATTGAGGTGACAGAATTACATTCAGGATAGTTCAATGTCAATTTAATTTTCCAGAAACAAACAGATGAATCGTTTATATTCATAAGGAATTCCCAACTCGTGATGAACCAGAAACGTTGGTTACAGAACCAAATATGCAACTTGAATCAAAACCATTTGCCAAATTTTGCTCCGATTCATTGGACAGTAACCATAGGGCGTCCGTTGTATAATAACTTTAAACGTCAAAATTTAAAAAAGATCAAAACACCATTCAATCTGACACGATGAGAACCCAAAGAGCGTATATGGTGTGCATGCCAATGAACATCATTTAAATCATAAATGAGCAGCAGCCACTGTCAACAAACGATATGGCGGAAATTTCCTCTAGATGAAGGCAAAAAGACATTTGGGTTCAGGACGTGGGGACTTGATTCATTGAAAGACATCGTTCTTGAATTAGTTTTCACGTTATTGATTTCCTTTTCGTTTTATGATTCACATTCCATGGTCCCCGACGTAAAGAAATGACAAAATCGGAAAGATCAACATATCTCCCCCCCCAGTACTATGGGGCTCAATGGCATTCTTCTCGAATGGGTGGGTTGATCTAACGGAAGAGGGGGAATACGATTAGAACAATGTACTTGTTCGCAACATACAAATGAGCATTATTTCCCAAAGTTGATATTTCTTTGGAAGATTTTTAATTTTAAGCCTTCAGATCTCTTCTGTTTGTAAAAAATTGTAAATATTTCAGTTGTAGATTGGTCTATCGTCGAGAAAATGTGCTTTCTGTTTTGAACTGATGATTTTGGTTGCATTGTACTGTTATGCTGTGGGATTGTATTTTTAATAAGTGCGATTTCATAGGGAGTTAAGGAGTCGTTTCGGTCACAACAATGATAGTTAGAAAGTTAAATATGAAAGAAAAATTTATATAATAATTACGGAACAGTTTAGATTCCAAAAAATAAAACTATTTAAACAAATCAGCCTAAAATTGCACCGCCACACACATGAGAAACAAGCATAAAGTAAACATGTATCAGAAGCCTCCAAGTATGACGTTTCGTAATAAAATTATAAAGAGTTAGGACAATTTGAACATTCTAAAAGTGAAAAACTGCTGCAAATCTTCATGCGGGTTTTTTTGGAATACTTGCAATTTTTTCAGCAGTTACTGTTGTAGTGGAATGCCACACTACTAAACCTTAATTTAAACTCATTAATTCCTATGGCAAAATACCTAAGCATAAAAGGATCACAAAGTTAGCTAAGCTACCTCAATGATATAGAGGAAACAAATTCAAGGCGTTGACTACGTTTATTTGAGCTGCGTAGAACTGGCACGCAGGTTAGGCATTAAATACACTTTTGGCTGCGTTGTTTATATGAGAGGTTTCTAGGCTCACTGATGTACACGCTGCCTAATGTGCTCTGAGGCACGGCCTCACTTGATGACTACTGAATCAGCAGCACGCCGATATCTCCAGAATGCTCTAGAGTGCACAGTAATCTTCAAAGGCTGTACGATTTATGTTGGCAAGAAAGGCTATTTAAAGGAAGTAATAGTAAATTGTTGCAATTCAATGCAATAATTTATAGCATATTTGAATCAGTAACATTTTAAGGAGTAGCTCACGTTATATAAAAAGGCTATAACCTGTCATAGAAGTAGTTTAAAACACATTGATATAGATATTGCTAAATCAGTTTCATTCGGTATTTGAAAAATGTGAAGGGGTACGCGTTCTACCGAATGAGATTTTGAAATTCGCTAAGGAAGTAAACACATTCACTTCTACGATTTACGACAGTGGAATTACGGAAACCGCGCAGAACATTTATTATAGTATGTCCAGTCATACGATTGCTGTGAATCGAGATGTTTGGTCAAAGGTAACCTCAGTTCAAGCTGTTATAAAATAAATTTTCGAAGAATTCCAATCAACAAATAAATAACAGATTAATTGTTTTATGTTGATGAACATTCCTAAAAGTTAAAAAATAGATAAATACGTCATATTATGACGACATTAATTATTAAAGCATGTAAATAGCTCTCAAGATAATTATTGTTTATAGTTAGTTTTGGTTAGATAGATCGATTTGTTTTGAAATTAAACCGGGTTTGCCATAATTCATATCGGTTTATCCTGTAAAGTTTGGTAATAAATGGGAAGCGTGATTTTTACTATGTCGGCGACGGCGAAATTATAAAAAATGAAATCGATTATTATTTGTAACGGAAAATTTCGAAGATTTGCCCAACGTAGATATAAATTTAGTGACTCGTAAATATTTACATTGAAAATAGGATTGCATAAAAATTGAATCTGAAAATAAATGTTAACTATATGAATAAACTCCAATAAACTGGGTAGTCATGTTTAATAAGTCTAATTATTAAAATGTACACCATGTTGACGATAATATTTTAGGTTTATTCCAATAAATAATTAAATGAATAAATACACACTTGAGATGTTTTAGTTATTTTATAATCTTTCAAGGTAACTTTTATTTAACCTAACTTAAATGACCTCTATTATTCATACTTCTATTGGCCAAGTACAACTCTAAAGGTCGTTTGTGGATATGGACGAAGACCAGGTAGAACCCGATAAGAAGTCAGTTAATTTTGACATTCTTTCAACAATACGTACTTATGTCAAAATTATAACCGGTTGGGTTGCTATATGGGGTCTTGGATATTACAAATTCAGTCCCAGCTGGGTTGCCTTAGCTGCAATCGGCTACATGGGATATGTGCGTGCGTACGAGAAGCGAAGATTAACCGGATTAGTTATGAAGGCATTAAGCAAAGATGAAAAGCAATCGATAATCAACAACATTGGTAGCCATGAATTGCCGTCATGGGTCTATTTCCCTGACGTTGAACGTGCCGAATGGTTGAATAAAGTGATACAACGAATGTGGCCCTACATAACGGAGTATGTTAACAAGATTTTGGTGGAAACGGTGCAACCCAAAGTCAATGATAGCTTACCGTCTTCTTTAAGACCATTCATTTTTCTACGAACAGATCTTGGTGATGCTCCACCACGTATTGGTGGAGTGAAAGTCTACACCGAAGAAAGCATTCGAAGAGATGAAATCGTGTTGGACGTGGACTTAATGTAAATTATATTATTGTCAAATTTATTTTGTAGGCTGTATAGCGATGCCCGAATCAAAGTTGCCGTAGGAAAAATCGTCGCAGGTGTTAAAGATTTTGAGGTAAGAATTCGAACATCTCTCTGCCGATGTTTGTTCGATTGTCTTCATTTTTAACTTAGCATATTTTATTAATTTTAGCTTCGGGGAACTCTACGGGTTTCAATCAAACCTCTTGTTCCTAAAATTCCTTTTGTCGGGGCCGTGACTGTGTTTTTCCTTGATAGTCCGGTAGGTAGATATTTACGCAAGTATTATCGTTTTACTAGTATATAAGCTTTCTTCTGACCCACCTTGGAAATATTTTGGCAATGCCAGGACTTCAGTACGTCTACTAAGTTTTACATTTGCGACCCCCCTCCTCCCCCACTCTTTATATTTCCTCATTTTTTCTTTTTTAGGCAAACTCTTTACCGAACAGTTCAAGACGTTGTGAATTCTCTCTGCGTTCTTCCAAATCGAATTTCTGTTTCACTTTTTGATGATATAATTCTTCAACAGGTTAAATTCCCATCTGCACAGGTTTGTTCACAATTTCTAATTAAATTTATTTCTATTTTTGCTATTTTTCGGATCCTATAGTACTCATAATTTTTTATACTGGGTAGGTCTTATTTCATTTGTTCAAAGGCGACTTTTCGAGAGTTAATGTAGTATCTTACATACTTGATGGTTTAATAAAAAAATCGAATTATGCATATCTCTTGACTGGTAAATTTCATTATTTTACTATCTTACACGTTTATTTGTTTTAAATATTAAACTTATTTGTTATTTTAAATACACACCTTCAAATTCTCAATGTAGTACTTCATTATTGTACTTTTGCCATTAATTCTTTTTTACCTTTATGTGTACTATTCAGTCCACTTACTAGTTTATACTCAAAAGCCATTTTTTAATTTTCTAGCAAAAATCGTTCCTTTTGTATAAATGTACGAATGTCTCATTAGTACCTGCTTTCTTTAAATTCACTTTTATCTGCCGTTTAAGCGTTTTTTTGTCGCAGTCATTTTTCCTCATTTATTTCTATCGCAGTTGTCTTCCTAATTTACCTTGGTCAAGGCTCAGCAACATGTAATTCATTTGCTCGTAAACATTTACCATTTTTTCCCAAATTTATCACTTGACTTGGATTATTTGGACTGATGAGTTTATAATCATGGCAGGAACATAAAATAGTCTCAATATGACTGATATCACATTTTTCGGTACATTTAGGTGAAATGCAACTTAATTCAGGCTAATCGTGTATTGTTTTATCCTCTTCTTATGCAAGGTCTATTTTCGTGGTGAATAATTGATTAGCATCGATCAGTGTGCTCCGTAAAGTGATCTTCTAATTTAGCCTCATTGTCAATTAAATTCTCGATGGGCAAAGTTTTACTTTACTCGCGGTATGCTCTAACTATTGTTTCTATATGACGTTGATGTATTTCCACTTAATTCTGCGTTTAAAGTTGTGACTTCTTCGTTAAGGAGCGGGATACTTGTCCTATACATTGACTCTATGAATGATTATAAATCGTGTTATGTTCTATTGAAATTCTTAATGAACTTGCCTACTTTTCGAATTCCAGGGCGCAGTTCGAATTGAAATTATTTCTGCCAATGATCTTGTGGCCTCGGATGTGAATATAACTGGAAAATCTACATCAGATCCCTACTGCATTGTCAGGGGTACGTTATATTTTATTATCATTTCAAATGGCAGGCCTTATGTTATTTACTATTTCTACGATTTAATTGACAAAAATGAGGAAATACTCATTTAGTATCCTATCTGTATCAGCATGAAAAAAGTGGTTGATCATTTTGTCATTGCGCAATTATGTACGCGACCGGTATGTTTTTTCGGTACACATAATTAATTTCCGCTTAATTGCATATTGATTCGCCTCCTTTGAACCATGGTCTGCAGTTTAAACCGCCAAAAGTCGTTGAAAGGCTACGACACGAATAAATGTATACCAGCTTAGTGGGTGAAGGAAGTGCAGATTTTTTGCAGGACTAGTTTATTTGGATTCCGATTTCTCAATTGTCTATGACGTGGTATGTGGACCGAGTTTTATGCAAGCACTCTTAATTTCTAACCTCTGGCGCTGGATAGATTTGAATCTTATTATTGAATTGAAAATGAGATGCTATTATTGTTTTGTGGAAGCGGTTGGAGGTGTGTTGGGCTTATTTGCAATCAGCCTGACGTCAATTCATCCTTAGTTCTATGAATAATAAGTAGTGACAAGCGCATTGACTTAAATTAGTCTACTTTTTATTCATATCTGTCCATCTTTTCACTCTTACTATGCAGACATGTTCCGGAATATGGAGGGGAATCGGCTAATGTGGTTTGATGATAAATGAGGTTTACTTTGAGCTGTCAATGCTCTCATAAATAATACAAATCCCTTTGTATTGTCCTAATGTTCAAATTATGTGTATTGACTTCCAGATTCGTAGAAGATATTGTATGTTCAAGAAATTCAGAATCAGTTGACTTGTGTCTGTGGTCAGTCACGCCACTTTGACTTTTTTTCTCATCTTGCCACAGCAGTGCTCATTCAAGGTGGAGAAGTTAAACGAGTAAAAAAGTTTTGACAGATTTTGCATACCAATTAGACTAATCAAAAAGTGTCTAAGTGATTAAGTAGGGTAGTTGTGTTTATTTTTTTCTGCAATTGTGAATAATTGAGATATTAGGGTGTGTAATCAATTTGTCTAAATTTTGTGGTAATTAATCATTTTTTTTCAGTCTTCATTTCTAATTTGTCTGTCTTCAATACTAGTTTTTAGCCGATATTTTTATTGGACAATCTATGAAAATAAGGAGATGGTGCATTCGCGAGAAATTAATAATATCCGTACACACATATTACTCTCTATCGTCAACATGGGATGCCTATGGACTTGCTTATTACACGCACAAAGTCTAATTATAATCTATTACAGTCTAGGCTTATTCTCTAAGAACGGTTAAATTAGTATTGCTTTATTTCAAATTGATCTTTGCCATTTATTGTCAAATCTTTAAATCTTCCATACGTCTTAAATGCTTACAGTTGGTGCCGAGAAATACACAACGAAAGTTAAGAACAAGACTCTAAATCCAACTTGGAATGAATGCTTCGAGGTAAGTGCGATTATATATATAAATATATATTTCGGGATATATATTATTGTTACTATGTCTCAAATCACTAACTTAGAAAATTCTCCTAATCAAAACCTGACTACTACGACGCAGGTTTTTTGATTCTGTCTTTTTATACGGACATTTTTTACATATGTAGGCAATTTTACGTCTTGATTGGTATTTAGTTTACTATCGTCTTGTCTTAAAAAAATAATATTTTATGAGGCGTGGGATGCATCACTATTTTTAATGAAAATTTTGCAGATACGTTAGCAATTAATGAAAGGGCATAGGACATGAAAAGTAGTTAATAACTACTAAAAGGTACAAAGGGGTTGGTGAGAGGAAGTGGCCATCTTGTAACAATGGCCACCACGCCCTCTCACTTCATAGGACCGTGCGATTTAGTTCAAGTTTCTCAAAGGCCTATACTATCCTGATTGGTTAATCATCTTCCACATTGGTTGGCTAGGTGGCCAGTTAAGTCCACTTCCAATTCTTTGGTGGCAATGGTCCTGGTGACTTAAAATATTAATGAAGTCTTACGCTGACTTTTTACTCCTTTTGCCCATTTAGACTATTGTAGATCAACGTATGGGTCAGTCGGTTATTGTTGAAGTTTTGGACAAAGATAACAGCACCAAAGATGATGAGCTTGGACTGTAAGTGTATAACTCGTTTAAAAAATAACCTCGCCTCTATGGGTTGGAAGGTTAAAATTCTTCTCATTCATCTTCCCTCCAGAACTACTATACCAATTGAGGACGTTTATCTTAGTGGCAGTATCGACTCGGTAAGCAAGTTTCAATTGTTTTCATCTCCCTTTAGTAGCTTTGAAACTGTGTTTTCTATTGAGGTATCTATTTAAGCTGGAACTGCTTTATTAATTACAACTCGGAGCGAGGTCAGACATTTTTTACTGTGACCAGTTGAAGTTCAATTATGATAATCGGTTAGGATCAAAAAGTATTTCTTATTTTAAGTGGTACAATACTTGCTAAACTGGTATTTCACGTTGCGAGCCTCAAATTTCTTAATTGGGCTCCTCTTTTGAGGGGAAAACTATTGTCAAAGTTGCCTTGTACTTATTGGCCGACTGTCTAACTAGACTTATCGATCTTGTTGCATTAGTTATTTTATTCCCTTTCAAAGACTGAGGTAATAGAATGATCTTACTAGATACGTAGCAGCTTACTTGACGTGAACATTGAACAGAGGTGAGATTGGTGAAATTTTAGTCTTTATTCAAATGACGTTGAATTGAGTGCTCTAATACGGTGGAACTAAACCGTCTCATTTCTTGGTGCTTTACGCATTCGCAGTCAAGAAGTAGACTTTAATTGACTGAATTATTCGTGGCAGGGATGACTCCTATGCACTTGATCTTAAACGTCCGCAACGACTTTAGTAGCCTTGGAGACGTTCAAGCCCCAATCACCTAATGTCTGAGTTATTTCCTTTGCTGTCCTATGACACAGACTGAACTGAAACATTTGTTCGCTAAATGGGTGAGTTCTCATTTGTACCTCCATTTGATAAATGTACTGATTTTTTCATAAGTCTATTTGCCCTGTTGTGATTGGCCAACGTCCACCAACCACCATCGGGACAGTTTGTGGTATAGGTGCCAGAGTATCCATAAACTCCTGTTTGTATAGTTCGGCTCATAAGAGGATGTGAGGATCTTCCGTGAGTTTGGGGAGTGAATAGGAGGAAATATTTATTAGAGTAAACATATTTTAAAATTAAATTCGAATTTACTTTCCTCAGGTTTTGCATATTGAGTTGAATATTTTCGAACATTCCTTTGCCATTTCTTATACCTTCTATTATTAGTTTGTAAGTAGTGCCGTCTTTGTTCATTTGTAACTATAGGAATTCACTCCATTTCAGCGCCATTTTCGATCACGTGAGGACTTTTTCCTTTCTCGCCGCAATTTACCGATGAATTTATAATACCTTTCCTATTTAAACTCTTAACATTCCTTTCTGGTTAGAGTTTTTCTGTAATAGGTTTTGCCAAATTTTCATTCGTTGTTTGATTTCCTTGCAAATTTTCACAACTCTTATTATTTTGCAGTTGTGGATTTTCAATCATGCTCTTTGTAGGTTAATTAATCATGTAGTCGCAACTTCAGGTGGTATTAAATGACTAATTGCATGGGTTTCCAGCATCTCCATGGTCTTTAATGTGGTCTAATTTTTGCTCCTTTTTCTGGCAGAACTTTTTGTGGTTATTGGTTTGAACAGGGAGGTTACCATCTTCTTTAGGTCCTTGTTTTACAGTGCTTTGTTCAAATGCCACTTAAAATTAAATGAAGTAAAGCTAATTTGTGGCGCTGGTTCTATTTTCAACAACTTTTCAATACCACCTCCTAGCTCCCATAACAATTTCTCTTTTATTGAGTTTAAATTACCTTCTTATCATTGAAATCTGCAAATCTCGTTGCCTTATCCTGGGTTCGTTCTAATAGCCTAGTTAGGCTTTCATAGCATTTAAGCTTAAAGATAATGCAATTACGCAAGCATTACCTCAATAAGGGCAAACTAGATGAATGGAGAACATCGAGAATCACCTTACTGATAAAGAATAGTTCACAGATTGATTATAAATGAGGCGATCTCAAATCTGTTCAGTCCCTGGGTTTAATCGGAATTATCAGGCACCTCTTTCCTAATAGCAACTTAAAATAGGGTATTTGATTGCATACTTTAAAAACTTGCTTTCTTTTGGTTATCTGTGGTTAGATTGAGCCTAGCAACCCATATTCCACCGCTTTTTTTTGTCCCATTTTTACAGGTTCAAATGTTGGAGGGTGTTAAAAAGGGGAAGGTGCATCTGAAAATTACGTGGCTGGATCTATCGCCAAACCCTGGGGACTTTGTTGACGTAAGTTCACAATTAATGAAATGTTTGCTTACTTTTTTATTAGGGACACCATTCAGTGGGGCCTACTTCTTCGTATGTTTGTCAATGAATTTAAAGTCACCGAAATTTGGGCATTCATCAGTAAATTGTTGGCTTGCATACGTAAAGTATTTTGTTGTTGAAAGTGCCAATGAAGATATTTCACATGACGTTGTTCACGTTTCATTAAAATAGTCTTCCAGATTTTCCTGCAAACAAAGTTTCATTTAAATTTCATATGGTCCTTTCCTTCTACTGAAATGGCTAATGCAATTTTCATAATCGAAACCAAAATAGATTTCTCATGATTAAATATATCATTGTCTATATTGAATTTAGCTGGAATAGTTTATATTACTAGACAAAAGTGGCATCACCATCGAGAGATTTTGTCCAATCTTAACACCAATTTTTTAAACATCAGGTTTTTTGTACAACTTATGCATTTATAACATTTTTTATGTATTGCTTTGTACTGGGACCTCGATTTAATTCGGTCACAACTTGGTATACTAGGCTGATTTCTAACTGGGATGCAGTTAGAAAACGCCTCTTATCAGGACGAAGAGGAGTATTAGAGGAGGTGCCAAGCAGTGTTTACTACACCAAGAATCCTATGGAAGAAGGACTAGCAACTGGGTAATTAGGCTCTGGTTCCTAGCTTTTCTTCAGGCTAGACCTTCGAATTATTAGTAAATTTCATCGGGACATAAGACAGAAAGAGGGTAAAATTGCCATGAACAGACTTATTGGTAGAATTCGTTGGTTAGAGCAAGACAAATTAAAACGAGTTTGAATAGTATATGATGCTGGTGGGTGCGATGTATGGTGTGTGCGAGCGCGTGATTCACAGTAGGTGATCAGATCTGGAAGGGATATCCCAAGTTCGATTTTCCAAGAGGTCCAAACAGTTTTGATTTCAGAAACGCATGAAGCCCAGGTGGAACTTCCGCTAGGCGGTTGCACCAATCATGATTTATGTTGAGTTCCGACTTCTCGTTAATTGAAGTAGTGATAAGCAGGAAACGAAATTGGAAAAAAATATATGCATAAATTATAACGAATCAGCTATAGATTTTAAATAATCGTAGAACTTTGCTAAGAGCATGTATTACACGAATTAAGTCACCTGGAAGTAAAGAGGAAGAGGCTACTCTAGTGATTGCCAAGTGAACTTCAATGGATCGCTTTTGCTCTCCCTCTAAAACTGACGTATGGGGACTCACCTACAATTTCCTCTAACTATTATAATTGGTAGTTTAATTAACAAATCGAGTGTTGACGAAATTAACTCATAGGAGGATAGAAATTAAAAACTGGATATCTGAAATAATAACATTTGCTTATCCCCAAGTTCTGTTTTTTTCCATTTAGGTTGACAGATTGCGACGATCTTCGGGCTCAGATCGAGCAATATACAACAGCTATCTCTTCGTGCGAATCGAAGAGGCCAAGAATTTAATTGTAAGCTCTCTCACCACACACACACACACACCATCACCTTATACTGTTGCTTGCAATGCAACTTAGCAAAGTAGTCTTTTCACCTACTGCAACTGCAAGTGTATCTAAAGCTCTAGCAATAATGTGGTAGCATTTACTCCTTTAAGTGTAGTTCTAGTTTTAAAACTCTCAAAACACCACAATTAGACTTCCTTCAATATCGTTTGTGAATTGTGTCCAAATTACCAATGGGAACGTCATTCTACGCAAATTTCAGATAGTAATACAAAAGTTTTTCTGGCAACATTTTCCCCACAATGGTACTTTTTAACTTGCAATTTTACTGATTTAAATAAGTTAATAAGCTTTCTTATGTACCCTATCTTTATTTATTTGGTCGTATTTTATTCATTTATACATACTTTGTTGAACAGTGTTTGAACTTAGTTTTTAGTAGTGCACATATTTAAGAAAATTCTTCGATTTTATTGTTCAGTGGAGGGGGTGTGCGATAGACTAACCTCCACGTGGTGCACCCTGGTCTTAAAATTAGTATAACACTAATAAATTATAATTACTGAAAGAGGGAATATAAGAAATTTCTGCTAACTTCAAATATTTGAAGTTATTTAAATTCCAATATCTAAATTTCATGTTAGTAAAAAACAGCTTTATTTTTAAAAAAAGATTTCGCTCAATGGTAACTTGATTTTTATAGCTTACCTTTTGCTATCATACCTTTTTATCATCTATTGTTTCCGTTGGGAAAAATATATTCAAGCTTGAGAGCGTTCATCATTGAATCATAACTAGAAGAGTAATATGCTTTGTATTGCCTATAGCCAACTTATGTGACTACTCCGGATCATAAGGTAACTCGCTTTTCATTCATTGGTGTTAGATTGGAGCTATAGTGCATCGCCATTTCCATTTCCACCACTCAAATCCAAAATTTGCTTTTTCCATACTAATACTTTTGACAAAGCGGTGACACTTTCATACTTTTGTTTATACTTTCGTTTTGGAGAGTTTACTTTTAAGTTCCTACTTTCCATATTGTGAAGTTATTTTGTGGCTTTTTCCATTGTCCATTTTAGCGTCTGAAATTCCTGCAAGAACCATCGCCATACTGTGTCCTGCAGATTGGTAACCAGATTCAGAATACTCCTGTTCGCGAGAAAACCCAAAACCCAATTTGGGAATCGCCTCATCATTTTCTATTCTCAAATCCAGATCTTCAAACTCTTAATATAGAGGCGCGCTACTAAGTTTATGGCTGCTAGCTAATGTCAATCTTTGTCTATCGCATTATATATGGTCTATCTTTTGTAGTTGAGAGACAGTAAAACGGAGTTCGTTCTGGGAACTCTTTCAATTCCGTTGAAGTATCTGAAAGCTGAGAAGAATATGACAATCACTCAGCCATACGCCCTTCAAGCCGCGGGTCCTGATAATGCTACTCTCTATCTTCACCTTGAATTAAGAGTAAGTTATGCCCACGTTGTGTTAATTCCTATGCCCCTTACTACCTCTTAATCCACAACTTCGACGCAGTTAGCTGTTTCATGGCTGTTGTAAGAATACTTTTTTTTTAATAAAAAAGGTTTTTATAAAAAATATTGTTTATGCTCATGGAATGAATCTTTTCTCTTGCGCCACCATAGTAAAGCATGTGCTTTACTATGGCTAACGAACTACACATTGTGAGTGGTAGATGTTGTGAAATTAAAATGGCATTGAATTCTCATTAATAGAACCAATGAAATTTTTGAGAAAGTCATTGAATTACCTCCGTTGCTCATTAACTGTATCGCTTTTGGCACAATTCTTTTTCAAATGGTTCACACTTAAATGTTTATTTACGCAGTTTTCATTTGGCATTTAGCGTATATTGGTGTAAAAGTAATGTGCCATACTTGTAAGAATGGTTGAACATGGATCAAAGATAACTGTTATATAGGTACAAATGAGGTTTTGAGTTACGCCGCTTCTCTGCAGAATTTGATGTAGGGTGTTTTGTCAACAAACCGCGACACAGGTAAAAGAAGGCATGAGACGATTTGAAATAACAGGTTTGGAATTTTTACTCCCAACTTGACGAAGTAAAGCGTTTTGTCACATGTTCGTGTATTGCAGGTACCTATATGCATTCCCGAATGTGCTGTAGATTTTTTTGCATGAAGAAGTCATCTTAATTAGAGATTGTCATAGGACGTGTCGAAACACGTTGAAGATATAAACCTTCACGAAGTTGATTAACCTTGAACAGCGTATTCTGAGTACATGGCTAGCGCGGACTTTATGCATTTTTGTGATTAATAGATAGAATAAAATAAGTAAGAAAATAAGCAATTATGACCGTTATTCGATGCGTTTTTTGTACTTTGTATATTTATAGCCAAACTTTTGACTATGGAGATAGCAGTATAAGATTTTTCCTATGAAATGGTTTATTGAACACTGTAATCGTCTAGAAAGCTTCTGCCTATCTAAGCCTCCACTCGCTGGGAAATGAGCTTTATTTAAGTTGTTTCTGAGTTTATTTCCCTTTGTTTACTCTGCTTTGTATGACTAATTTTTAGGAGCAAAGAGATCCCTTTTTCTGTTTTTTTTTCTTGCTTAACATTTCACAAATGTGTGTTGAGTTTTGAAATACGCGGTTTCAAAGTTCCCCATTCAATACCTTCTTTCCCGAAAGCGTGTACTTACGGGATTTTTTTCAAAGTTTGCTCACAATGTTTAAGTGCATGCTTTCTCTCATCAGTAATAGGAAACAAATGAATTTGAGCAGGCTTATTTAAATCACAACAAGAATTGACTGACAGCTTTGGCGTATTCCTTACTATTGCATTATTATAAATAGTCACGTAGGGGCGAAATATGAAGCTGTGATCGCGTGAAGGCGTCTAATCACTGAAAACTATGAAATAGTTCAATTGAAGGTCATCAATGGACTATTCCATTTTGTTTTAAAGAACATTTGAGTTAATATTTAGTTATTTTAAGTTTGTCACAAATGTTCACGTTACTTTCATTTGTATTAAGAGCGCCGTGAATAATGTTATTGCCAATGATTTTATGATATCAAATGGGTTATCGCTCAAAATCCACCTTTTCCAGTTATAATGGAAAATTTCATAGTCCTGAGTGTATTGGGTGGTCATTACCTCTATCAACCTATTAATTTCCAGCTTTATACGCAAATCATCTACCTCCTCCAAAAATCTACACCTGAAAATTCTGTTTCAATCATTTAGGCACTTGTACCTGGGCCAGATCGACGACCTCCAATTGAGAGCTCATTGCCTGGATCACCAACTAGTGATGAGGACATGAACATTGCGGATGCAACTAAAATAGATGCCGACTCAACTTCAAATGATCCTACAGAACCCCCCAAACCTGGTTCCCCTGAGGCAGAAAATGTTGTGCGTCATCGTCATCATGGATTCAAGGTAATTTCTTCGTACTACTTCTAACCCTTTTTGTTCTCTCCGCGTATTTTCGTCTCCGCTCCTTTTCAGTGGATGAAATTCCACCAGATGGACTATTTCCAATCACATACTTTTGCGTAACTATAGAGCTAGGACTTAGTATAGTAGTTATATTATTGCATAAGTCTATTGTTCCCTTCAATCCACTCTACTGACTTTGGCCAACTGTTTCTATTTGCAATTGTGGGTTTATTGACCCATTAAAGCATTAAATGTATTTTCACTTTGCATATTAGATATGATGTGTTTGGCTTGCTCGGTGTGGTTCGTTGTGGTCTGTTTTCTAGCTCCATTTTACCCCCCCCCATCTCTACGTCAATAATCTTCTCTTTTGGTGCCATTTCCTTCATTATGTTGTGTATTATGTTTATCTAGTCAGTTGTGCTTTTTACGCACTTTGTGTATTTCGTATTGGTTTAGGCGAAAGTGCGATCTTTTCGTCACCGCAGAAAGATTACCACATTTGTCCCACTCCCTATCCAGGTTCGTATTGTCCGGTACTCGTTAATTTCTCTTACTGACAAGCTAAACCCCCAATCTACTATTAGATTTACACTAGTTACATAAACGTGATGTATAGAGGTGACTTCTCTTTTGTTGCGTTATATACTATCTACTAACACGAATTCAGTAGCGTTTATTAAATAGGAATGTTTGAAGTTGTGTTTACTAAGTCTCTTATAGACCTTCTCCTTTTTAACAGGGCAATGATGGCAATATGCAGACGATGGTAGCTCCGCCAGATCCAGCAGGTCGTATTAGACTGACAATTCGCTACGATGTTAACCTGGAGATCTTGACAGTTACCATTGAAAGTGCTGAGTATGTGCCTAGTCGAGTGTTTGACATTTGAATCCTTAATTATCCTATTCTATGCTGCAATATTCACAAGCCTGCATAAAGCCTGACTTTGACTTTTGTGTTATAATGTAACAAATTTGTCGAAAGTTTACATTAGAATTTGGTTTGCTTCATCTATGGTCAATAATTTTCAAAGCTACTTGTCTCATTTACATTCATTCATAATTGTAATTTTTTAACGAATGTATCTGAAGGTATTTAATTTTTTTCAGAGAGCTACTTGGCGTGGACAAGGATGGTCTCTCTGATCCTTACGTGAAGTTGAGCCTTATAGATGGATGTGGTCACACAGTCGGTGACTCAAAGAAAACCAAGCCTGTGAAGAATGACCTCAATCCACAATTTAACGAAAGGTATTTCCTATCGCTTTCGCATATTTTACATTTTCTGTTATGAACTAAGCACTCTTATGGCTAAATATTTCAGAAAGAGGATTAAGAGTATTGACTAGCACTTCCTATCTCTAATAACCCAAAATAATTGGATGTCTAATACATCCATTATGAGGCCGATTAACTATCACTTATGACAATTCTTAGGCTGGAGGTATCAATCAGTTATTTGGTGGGTGTACTTACAAGACTGCGTTCCATGAATTATTCAAGCACAAAGTGTTAACGTGCGACTCAGGTCCGTCAGTCTTTCTTTTGTAAAGCTACACGTACTCGGGCCAAATAAAATGAGGGGCAAGGACCTACAGCTCAAAGAGATATTTTATTAGGAAATTAGAATTGTCTGTATTGGCTGTATGGTTAAAAAATATTGTTGAGGTATTATTGGGTTTAAACACCCAGATTTGAGCGTAGAACCCTCGTAATGGATAGTTCTATTGGCAGTATTGTCTATACCATTCGGACAGGTGGATGTTTAGCTTAAAGGAAATTGTTTGAGAAACGGTATGGTGGTGGTTGATTGTTAGGATTTAGGATTTTAACGCCTGTCAAATTCCTCGTCTTCATACTTACGTTCATGCATTAATTGATTTATTGACCAGGTGAAAATCATCTAATAACCAATGACTGGGGAGCTTTTAATTCCAGTGGTCCCGTTAACTTTGATTTTCCTCTTTGATTGTATTTCTCATCAGATGGACCTTCGTATTCCCCATCACTTTTTTTCCTGATCCTGAATGTTTACGTCATAGTGGCTCTGCGTACAGATAGAAGTGTGAGAAAGCATTGAGAGGCTTCATAATCTTTCGTTGATATGCTTCATAAATTATTTCTTTTTTTTCGTTCAGCTTCGAGTTCTCTGTAAATTCTGAAGTTTTGGGTACGTGCAAACTGTGTGTGAATGTAAAGAACCATGTGGGAGTGCTTCAGCGTGGCTCACACACTCGCGAGTTGGGATTTGTTGTGCTGACTCTCAAGTCTCTCAAAGATGGCGTTGGATTCACGGAATGGCAAGTTTGGCTTTTTTTTCGACATGGTTCCATTAACTTTATAAAGTTATGTTTTATATGACGAGGATTACTATAATCGAGTGCAAAGTTCATTGCCATTTTGGAAAATGAGCCTTAATTAAACTCATTTATGCTGTTGATACTGCTATTGAGTGGATGTTACTGGGGTAAATTGGCGAACATGAACGCATTAAGATGTTATGCCGGACTATCATATGACATTTTAATTGGTGGTAGCTAAAAAAAAGTTCCTAAAGCAAATTACGACCCAACCAGAGGTGAAAATCAATAGTAATCACACTGACACTGAGTGTTCAGGTGTTACGACTATTGGCCCTTTCCTGCTTTTCGTCTTTCCCATTTTTCTTCTATTTGTCCTCTCTCTCCCTGTTCCTTTCTGCATTTGTGCCAGTGTTGATAAAAATAGTGTGCTTTCTCTGCCGACTCATGCAACCATTACAGTTGTTCCCTTGTTTTCTTTAAAGATTTTCGCATGTTTTTGTTGCAATTATAGGCTAATTGATGAATAATAGAGCGTTCGTACCGCTCAAAAAGAAATTGGAAAAATTGTGGTGGTATTAGATCATGTGTCAATAAATAGCTCTGAAGGGGTTGAGGGGGAGGGGGGGGGGGGGGGGGGGGTGTGAAATATGGAAGGTGTAAGTTCTCTGCCTTGAATAGCTATCGTCTTAATAAGTTTCGAATTCGAATCTTACCAAATTGCCGCACATTTCACTATTAACCAGGTCTGTCAGTCTATCATCAATTATTTCTGACCCCTATTACTCCATCACATACCAATATGATCCTAAGTTTGAAGCGTGGAAATGTTAGTCCGTGATGGGATGAAAATATATCTTTCACGTTTACTCCCATTTTCCGTCTTCGCTCTATTAATCTGGCAATAATTTTTGCCAAGTTAGTATTTTTAATTAATCATTTTTATTCATCCCTTGACGCGATCCCTTACAATCAGGGTTATCTTCGCATCTCCTCGGAAGTAAAAATCTTACTCTAATTTCGCAATATTTGATCCCTGTACTCTTATTTGATTGCGAAATCGACACGCGCGCGTAACTGGGTTCGTGTATTCGTTTTTTTGTAGGTACTGGTTGCACAAATCCAAGGATTAGCGCTGAGACAATCCACTACTGTGCCACTAACGTCAAACTCTTCGTATGATTGAAGATGTTGCTTGTGCTGCTTCTAATATATATCCTCATTATTTTTGAAAACCAAATCAAATTAACACCTTATCGCGTCCTTGTTGCACCCTGTTTTACACGCCATTCAATTGCTTTGAGCTTATTGCTACCGCCATTTTTATAAAGTAATAAATGTGAATATTATTATTATTATTATTGTTATAATACAACCTTTATAACACCAATATGTTTGTGTTATGTTTTCCAACAACTGGCTTTTATCCATTTTTTATCGTCAGTAACCAGCCAATACTATTCCGACAAGCAATAGACGGAAGCTTTACCACGGTCACTACCTACTATTGTCGTATCTTCTGTGATTTCGATGAATCAATTGCATACTGGTGGAATTGTGTGCATAGAGATTTGATAGGCTATTTCCGATTCGGTGCTCACAATTCTTCCACCAGAGCTCTTTAAATTAGGGTTATTTGAGAACTGATCCATGTTGCGTATTTCAGTTTAGCTAAGTCTCCGGTGCATTCCCGTTTAGAGGAATCAATTTCTACCTGCAAAAATACAGAATGTTGTGGTAATCAGCCTCTAATTAGAATCTGAGTGGCTAGCACTGCATAGACCGTGCTTAAGCGTCATTATATTGTTGGCAGATAATCTGATATGTGTCAATATGGGAATAGAGGTAGTGCGTCACAGATCTCAGCATTCCACAAGGTAGGGTGAGGGAAGCCCAGGCTGTTCTTGCCTTTTCTAGCTTCCACAAGACATGCAGATTGAGGTGGCAGCTGAGTAAATGGATTAAAAGAAATCACAGGTCAATCAAAATTTATGATCACCAACTTTCATCCGTGTTAAAGCTGGAACATCAACATCTATCTCAACTCCAACCACCTTCCCTCTATTTCTTCGATGGATGATACATTGCACCAGAATGAATTGACAAATCCGATTCGACGTTCTAGTAATCTTCATAGAGTACCTGGGACCAAGTATTGATGGGTTGAGATGAAGTGGATAATGCACATGTTAAAGAAGTAGAACTTGCACTACGCATCTCGTTTGCATGAGGGAGAAGCCAATAAGAAGCGAGACAAAACTCGTGGAATAGGCTAAAACATGTTGATCAACCACCAACATTAATTCGACTGATGACGCCTCACAAACGACCTCTGTGACCTATCAATCTCTCAGAAAAAATTGAGTCAAATACGCTTTAGGAGAATCGTGGAATGTGGGATTGACTTAGGGCTTTGTTTAGGAGTATCCTATAGATAAGAACGTTAGCCTAAGTAACATAAGTTATTTCAAATGTACGCAAGACGGAATAATTTCAAAGAATATTAGATATTGTGAAAAAAATTAGATGGAGCAATAGATTCGCCTCAATGACCACATACCCACGATGCAGCAAGGGCCACGGCCTCATTGGCTACATGGTTAGTGACTTTCAAACGCTCGCAAAGATTTTAACTACCCTATGTTGTAGTTGAGAAATAAGATCGATTAAGCGCATGGTTAGGAGGACTGGGCATCGCTCTTTTTGTTTTAATGAATATGGTTTAAACAATATTAGGAATTAAAATAGGCATCAAAGAAGTTCGATAAAAGTTCATCGGCAATATAAAGACATTGGAGTGTCAATATCATGAGCACTGCAATTGAGCCCGATCAAAATCCGACCAGACTCCATTCTCTGCGCATGAATTAATTATTGCTTAAATCAATACCTGGTTTTGTCCAGGTCCTGTGTGGGTAAATCACCCTGGATGGGATTTGTGCGACTGCTGTATATTCTAAAATAGAAGACTTTGAAAACATATAATTACACCAAAAGCTATTGACCATGACCAAATTCTTGCTTTGAACAAATTGTGCTCCCCACAGTATCGATGCCACTCAAAAGACGAAAACAGTTAGAAAACAGTATCACATAATCTGAGTTAATGAAGTTGGATTCGTGAATTCGGCAAATGGAGTGCTAAAATTGCAACTACTTCATGATGAATAAATTACCAGAAATGGAACATAAATGCAAATGTTTTGTTCACTTTAAGTGAACTTAGTAATACAAACACTATCGACTCCAATTTCTGTGCCTCTGATACCAATCAATGAAGTCACGTGAAAGCTATTTCTACTCTCGTAATAACAGAATGATAATAGGATTTCCACCATATGTGCAAAACTGTACAAATTCAAGGAAATAGTAAATAATAGACCTATTTAGACTAAAAAAGGCCTCACGGACAAGAAATAGAATTCGCGGGGGG